GTAAAAGATTGCCGGACCTAGAATAGGAACAAGTCTCTTGTCTCTTACTCTTGAATCGTTTTCACGTTATTGTCGAATAATATTCTAATTGTATTCTTGATTTTTATCAATTGTAATGTTTGAGGGTTGGAGAACATATCAGAAAGATTATTTCGTTCTGTCGCTAACGATCGCGCGTTATTGAATTGGATTTTTTTACCGGAACGAAACTCGAAAACACTGGCGGTGGAATTGAGCAATAAACAAAAAAGAAAAAGATATTACAGAAATGTAAAAGTATCGTGTATGGGAGGATTATTGGACGTTCGGAGAAACTGACAGAGATAGATAGACTGCGGTAGATTGATTTCGTGAGATATTCGCAGAGAACAAACTCACTCTTATCACGCACAGAGGTTCATCTATATATCGGTTATGGATTACCGTAGATCGAGTTTCGCGATGATCTGTAACTCGGCCAACTCGGTGGTTCGTGGTGAATCGATGTTTCTCTTGCGATGTTTCTTCGGAGAAAAAGTTTCACTCGTCGAGAACGAGATAACGGAAGAAGTGTTTTAACTTCGCGAGAACCAACGGGGCGGATCTTTGATGTCGAAGTAAAAACAGAGAAACGGAACGCATTTAGAAGCAGGGTATAGTATGTATACCTATACCTACGCTTTCCATATGTGCTTCAATAGCGAATATCCATACCTTATATTTATTAGATCGTCGCATATAAAATGCCGAGTTTAAATCAAATTATCAAGTAATCTTCGAGAGAGAAGAAATTTATATTTTTACAATCATAAAAATTTAGCAAGTGCGCTTTTACGGAATGAGGAATTGTTATAATTTATTTCTATTTGAAAAAGATGATGTCACTTTAATGTGTAATTGTTATCGAAATTATTTATTGTACGAGAATTTGTTTGTTGGATTTTCGAAATACAGCATTTTTGGTACGCGACGAAACAATAGATCATCTGCGCGGATACTTTTATCTGCGCCTAAATACCAAATAGAGTATCTTACAATAATCTAAAAAATTTAGTGTGACGACGTATGAAAGGGATGCGTTGAATATGCTCTGTCACATGGTGAAATTTTCGAAGTCAGGAAACGTACACGAGTAGATAGAGCAAAACCAAAATGGGCGACCACTGAAGCGCGAGGAGCCAGTTAAACGAGACCTGTCTGCCAGGTGGTTTCGATCCGCCGCAGGACGCTATTTGACTGCGCGCTCGTCGGCTTATTGTGAATTCGAGACACGTCTCGAGATGCGAGACTGCTTCCCGGGACTCCGGGCATAATGCCTTTTCCGTCGAATCAATGGTTTTTTGGTGGCCGTACCTGATCGCCGCACGGAGGATACGAATAGTCCTGTCCACATCTGTCAACGCCAAGTTTCACATCGTTTCTCGAACGCCGAGCAGGATTGCTTAATTAATTGACGTCGTCGTTGAAACTCGTTGATACATTCTACGAGCTTAAAATTAAAAAATTGTGAAGCTTACACGTCACTGTTTATGATGTCACGTTAAAAATAACTATTTGCAATGCTATCCGGAATAATTTTAGTTATAATCTTACAACAAGGAGATCATATAAAAATCAAATTGTTTCTTTATATTCTGCAATGTCTTTGCTTCTCTTTTTTTTAACAATTTTTTACTATTTTAAGAGAAATCTACAAATATTTACTACGCTTGCATAGTGCTTTTAGTGAGGATATATCGTTTCCATGAAATCACACCCTACTTTTAATTATTGTTCAGATTAGGAAGACAATCGTATAGATTATAAAAAAAAACGTTTTGTAGACTTGCAGATAAATCGTGGTTATGCGTTTTTACACTTTTTTTATTTTTTTGCGAAAACGATGTGGTGTTTTTGACACGAGTGCTTTTTCTGTTCCTCCGCACTCCATTGCAGAACTATTCGATTGAGCGTTATCGAAATTTGCATAGCCGCGCATAAGACGAGACCTTGCTTTGAAATACGATGGAATAAAGCTGGAGCCTAAGGGCGCACGTAGATATAGATACTCGAAAAGAGAGAGACTGCGTATCTCCGCGGAAACTTTCGAGGGTGCCTCGAATTCGCTTGAACTCGCTTATTCTATGCAGAGAAACCGTCCAAACGATGCGCCACTGTTGATATAACGTTGTAACGTGTATCTCGATGAAGGGTTGTCCTATGTCGACCACCGTCATCGAGTTTTCATCAAGAGAACTCTACCATTATGATCGTTAAAACTCAAAACAATTGTGTATACCTATGTACGAAACACAAATGTTTAAAATGCAAAGGAATTTCTTTAATGATAAAAGATCATTTTAAGCAGAATTTTATTTGACATAAGAATTGTTTAAGATTTCTATGTGAAAAATAAAGATATTTAAACGTACATATTTTACGAGATGATGTTAGCTGATATTAATTATGATATTTTGTAAGGAAAGGTAAAAAATTCTTAATTATTAAGATAATTATTAGATGGTAAAAGCGGACCGACATGGGTGTCACTGATAATCACAAATTAAGTCAGTCAGGTACATCTTCTGATATCGCTTATCAGTGATATACGTGTTCTCAGATAGGTTGAGTTACTATCCCTTCGATCTCCAGATTGATTCTCGTCAAGCGCACCTCACTCAACCTCGTAAACATCTTCAACGTGAAATTGATCCAATATATGACATACTTATGCAGGAGCCAACAATTACTATTATTCACAGAGATATATGTCACCTCTCTCATACAGTTAGGTATATGTAATGCAGATATATATTTTGATAAAAATATATTTGTACTAATAGGCAGAATTTGTTTACATATGATGATATTAATGATCTGCGTGATTCCAATCTTTGATCGATGCAGCGGTATACTTAAATACATGATACGTCCTAGGATTTAACGCGATCGCGAACAGCTATCAATCAGAGGATCAAGCTGATCCTTCGTCACTCAGGTACGGCTTGCAATATCGGCTGATTTCCGTCACCCTTTCACGCAGGATTTTGGGATCGCGATGTAAATTCGCTATCGTGCGGTGACACGATCCTGCGTAATCGAGCGATACGTTCTCATAATCGAAAGGGTTGGGTGCGCGACGGGATTCGGGATAGGGATGGGAGGATTTTCTTGCTACCGACAAAATTGAAATCCGTCCGATCGTGCGGATGTGATATACAGCCTATGGCGGAAGAGATCGATAAGGTATCTATAAATACCAACAAATGTCTTAAAACAATATTGATAAAAATCTTTTAGTCTTTAGTGCTCAGAGATTAAGAGCTTCATGATCAGATTCTGATTTTGATTTAAATTATAAATAAAGAAGCAAAACGATGAAGGCGCACACAGTCACATAGTTTCTAATATACAAGAATTGTCTATTTATTAAATACGCTCGTACCAAATAAATTCCACATAAGTACGACAAAATTATTTTTCGAATGTCGGAAAACGGGTCATTAATAACGTGACAACATGTCAATTTGCGTACATTGAAGTCAAAATTTATCGTTAAAATTCAACAAACGAAAAATCATATTAATAAACGCGGCGTTACAATCACGCGTCGGATCGTGCTCGTCAAAGTTGTTGTCGTTAAATTTCGCCGAGAGAGAAAAGTCATGTAAGTTCGCTCTGCACCGCGAGAGTTATCACGCTACTCAGGCATACACGCTTATCGCCCGAAATATCGTTCATATAAATCTCGCGAAATTACGTTTCGAACGTATAGGAGAACGTAATACCAGAGCCATTAATAACAGCACGTTACAGCCTGCTCTGGTACGCGTCCATCAAAGTTACAGACGCGTGTTGCGGTAGTGGCGGCAGCGGCAGCGGCAACGGCAGCGGCGGCGGTGCTGCGATGTAAGTGCGTGAGACGTCCTCGTAAGCGAGTAGAAGATATATCCGCTGCGTCCGACATGAGAGGGCAAGGGGAAGGGAGATGCGAGATGCGTGGATGGTCAGAGCGTCGGCAAAATTGAAACCGCACGGCGTTGGTGGTTGGTGGTGCGAGTGCGGATGCGGTGTTACACGCCGCGCGGCGCAGAGAGGCGAGAAGCGCACCCTCGTGCACGATCGATGGCCTCGGCTAGATCGTTCCATTATACAAGGATTTGCTCTCGACGACGTTGATGGGCTTCCGGGACGTTCCTACTTCGTCCTGAAAGCGCCCCGGCGCTTTAATGCGCCAACCATGGAAGTAATCATTCCGGAAGCGAGCTTTTTTTGATCCTTCGCATTCGCGCTGGCTCGCTATGGTCAGAGATCCGTTCCGCACTTAAGAGATTTGAAAACTCCGCCGCTTGTCGGAATATAATGATGTGCTCTTGGTAAACAAATCGATTTGCATTGGTCATTATAAGAAAGTAAAGCGGAATTTATTTGATATTTAGATAAGTAATATTCATCCTATTCTATTAAGACGATTTATTAAAAAAAAAGATTTTAAGAGAATACGTTTTTAAACATTTTTATTTCTTCTCGCAAGAATTTCAAACAAGAAAACTTTGAAATGTTATATTAACGTTACACTTCGGTGAGATAGTTTCAAATTAGACTTTATATGTTATAAAATCCAAATAATTTATTTATATTTATTATTCAAATAAGTTTAAAATTTATAACATGTAGATAAGACTTAGGACATAATATTAATATTCTTGTTGCGATATAGATGACAAGTGGGAATGCTTGGTTTGCAACAAAAATATACTACTAAATCAAATTAATGGAAAAATTAACTCATTTTTTAACAATAATGCAAATAATGAATAATATTAGAAATGAAGATAATGGATAAAAGGATAAAGTTCAAATAATGAACTAGAAAGAAATTTATTCGAATAACTCTGACCTCCGTACCAAATAAACAGAGACGGCAAACATGTTTTAGTCACGTGTACCTATAAGTTGAATACACATATCATATAGGCATGTGTATGTATAGTGAGATCCACTAGTTATCTGTCCAACGTTCAGTCGTACTCGTTTATACATTCGTGCTCCGTACAGTTGATTAATTTCTGTATGTGGAACAATTTTTGGCTTTTGTAAGTATATATATTATATATGTATATGAGTATGTGCGTGTGTATGTGTGCATGTGTGTGTATATCTTATGCATCTTTTTTCAAGTTCTTTCCAATTCCTTAAGAAGTATTTACGAAAAGATTTGAATACATTTTCTCTATATAATTTTTACCATTATATACCATTTACGAAACTTTATTGTTTTTCTTTTTCTTTTCTTCAAATGATGTATACCGCACATCTTGAAAACGGTTGAAATTTCCTTTTTCGATGTAAATGGATTCCATATTCACTTGGAAAGTTTTATTTCTATACAAGGTAGAAACAATATTTTTCTGTCAGATACGTTAGTATTGTAGAATCATAAAACAAAAACTGAATCATTTTGATGTCGATTATATCTTTGAGTATGAATAGTCTATGGGCGCGAATAAAATATATATCATAACAATTTAACGACTTTTCTCTTACGATATTGTAATGTTTGTGTTCTATTATGAAACTTTTTTTTACAGTTTACTGTAACTTTTATTTTTATTTCTTTTTTTTTTTTTATAGAGCCTATAACATTCAAAGATACAGCAAACATAAAAAAAACATCTCAGAGTAAAATAAATTTAACTTCAAGGAAAATAATGTAAGTAGAGATATATCCAGAACAGTTGATAATTGCGGAGATACAATTAATATTGTGAAACGTAATAGCAGTTTTTTAACTTCAGTCGAGTTACTCAATAAGATGTCAACCCGACCATCAAGCGAGTCTGTGTTTTTTACGGATGACTCTACCGAGTCCTCAGATAGTTCAAAAGAGGAAATCGACGAACACAGAAGTAATGTATCTAAAATTTTTACAAAGAAAGAAGAAAGACGGTTGCTGAAAAAGCTAGTAGGAAATAAACAGTCAGTTTGCGTTTGCAAATCTTGCTCGATAGATCGTCTGAAACGTTCAGCTTATCAAGCAGCTCGTGAAAGAAAGAAATCATATCCTAAGTCGTGGAATAAGAATAGGCAAGCGGAATCACAATGGATGAGGAAATTTGAAGTAAGGCATAAGAAAATAATTTCCAAACTTTCTCTTGCTTGTAAAGCGGGATTATCTCAGGTATCGATAAGTCAACAGCAATCTTCAAGTAAAGAAAATTTGACACCTCAAGAGGAACAACCATTATCGGCAGACACACTGACAAATGAAAAGTGTGTAACAACAAGAGTGCCACTTTCAACTTATAATTTAGATCATGATAGAAAAGCAGTTCATCCAGACTCGTGTGATACAAATAAGTTCAATTGGCCGAAATCTATACAAAAGTACAAAGATGAAATTTCAAAATTTTGTCTTGATTACGCGGAAATAAGAAGATCATCTCAGAAGTCGACGAACAAACAACAATCTGTGCTTAAAAACATTTTGATATCTCAAGAAAAACAATCGTTACCGACGGACGTATTGACAAACGAAAATAACGATAGCCTGATGATACCATCAGCTCCATCTTATTTAGATCATGATAGAAGGACAACTTCAGATTCGATTGATAATGATGAACAAACAGAATTAAAACGGATGAAAGGTTTAGCAAAAGAACCCGAATGTGAAATTTTAAAATGTGAATTTGATTGCACAACAGGATTATCTCAGTCATCGACGAACCAACCACAATCTGAGTAATTGCTAAACCAACCACACAATGTCTTATAAATTTAATTAAAGAAGTTAAGACATTTCGAGAGAAATTTTCACACTTCTAAAATTGTTAATGAAATTGATTTCCGTTGCTTCCGTTGTTCACTTTAGATGCGAATTTTGTTTTTCTCTATAAAATTAATTAATATTTTACAAGATTATGTTTATATTGAAATATTAATTTCTAATAATATCTAAGTAATTTTATTTTATATTTCATAAAATTGTAAGACATTTTTTAAAATATTGTATTTATCTATATTTTATAAAATTATATTATATTAAATTTACACTTTATAAAATATTAATATAATTTTATGAAATATATTTGTATTTTATAAAGTTTTATTTTATATTGGATAAAAATGAAATTATTTGAATATTATAATACATTAGATATAATGTATGGGTAATTATATACATATACATATGTATGTTACATACCTATTGCACGTTGAACATATATACATGCAAACATATGTAAACACACATCCACGCATCTTTTCTGGATTTTGAAAATAATTTTAGTAATGATTGACTCTTTATTAGGGTTAAATTTTAGGCAATTTGTTTAATATAAGAAATTTTTATAAAATACAAAAAAAATTAGTTTAGTTTAAATATAATTACTTAAGAACATTTCATAGTTTTTTTTAAACATTTTATATATAGCTTGTTCTAGCAAATGAACACTTCAAATGATGTATTTTCGTATATTGCGATGCTATTTACTAGAGTTCTTGTTCGATGATTAACATTTAAATAACAGTAATCATTATTATTGTCAACATATTCATAAAATTATGTTTTAATTTAGACGTATGCCTCTTTTATAGAGTATACACTATGTTATATATTACGATTTCCTTTGGGAAGAATTCTCAAAGGTATCAAGAAAGGTATCGTTGTTATATACATATTACTGATTATATAGTCAAAAATCTAGGACGAGCAAAATTTTATTTAATTATTAGATAATAATGAAAAAAGATAATTTGTCTAATTTCTCCATTGATGGAGGTATTTTTTTTTAAGTAATTGTTTATTGTATTATAAATTTTATTTTGAAAACTTTATATTTAAATAGTTATTTAAATAATATTTTTTATTATACTTTTTTATATTGTAATGATGAATGTAAATTATATGAATAATTTTTATAAATTATATAAATAAATTTTATTGTTTATTAATTTATAGTGTATTTTAATTTTCTAAAGATGTACAAGTAATTGTTGTATAATACAATTCTTATTTGTAATGTTTAGGATTGTTAATACGGATTATGAATATATATTATTAGAATACGAATATCTAGTTTAAAGATCTTTTCATGCACGCGCTTTAAATTGTTACCGGATAGAAAAAATGTGCAGTTAACGCGTCATTCGTTATACCACCTGGTCCCGCAGCGGCGGTGGATGCAATTATCGAAATGCAGGTACACGAGGGTGCGACATTGTCAGTTTTGGCTCGTCGTTAGTCGAATCGTACCGATAACACGTCGGCAGGATCGGTTACAAAACGATTCGTTCTATCAATCAGCTTGATTAAGCAATCCCCTTTTGTCGCTGGTGATTTCCAACGAGCAATATCGCCACGCTTTCCAAATGGCGAAATCTTATCCGATACCCGGGATAAACCCGCGGTCTCTATTAATTTACTGCGCTGGCGGTTCGATGTCGTCGACGATTTGCGAGTGGAATTAAATCCCCGACGAGTTTCGCGAAATACGAGACGACATTTCCAAGCAACTTCGACTGTTTGACGCGCGTAATTCTTGTTTTACGCACGCTACTAATAAAATCACACGAGTAAATTTTACCTTTTATACCGATGAGATTAAAATAAAGTAATCTATTTTTTATTCGTCAAATTTGACGTTCAGTCATTGTTCATGTACATTTTAAAAATTCTACCCGCATTTCAGTGATATGTACGAATACGTAACATATAATACAGAACGCTCTCTCTTTGCACGTCTAAAACTTTTATGTAAATAATTTAAAAAAGAATCTACAAAAATTACACGTCTCAATTTTTACATTATATCATATATGTATATATATTCATCAGTTTTTATCTCTTACTAGACAAGCGCGCGCTATTTAATTTTAATATTTCACTGTTACTATTGACCACACAACTGTCAAAATATGCCATGACAGCCGCTCATGAAGTAAGTGCAGAGAATGAACCAATCGGCATCGTGGAAAAGCGACAACAATACTTCGATAGATTCGAGTATCGATGACATGCCCTTTTTAGAAGAAAGGAGGATTCATATAAGGATAATTTTTTCACCCTTTAATATATAAACGAGATAAAAGATGCAAACAAGTACAAATAAAAGATTAACCAATTACATTATAATTTTTTTTTTATATAAAGTTGAGCGCCAGGTTTATCTCGATGAGATTAGAATCTTAGCAAAAAGAATTACTCACGTCTTAATAATAAAATGGTGAGTCTGAATCGTCAAAGATTGCATGACATATCCGGATGCGTGAGTTATCACGACCAATTCGCGCATCTCTCGCCGTCATTCCGTCGTCAAACGTTGCGTTAAAGTCTACTGCCGCTACTGAGAGCTTATTTTTTCAAAGGTTAATAAGAGTCTTCTTTCGAAACCGGGCACGAGAGGGATGCACGGTTCGCTTGATGGGTTCTTCGCTGCCAGGTCTCTTCAGAATTTTCCTTCAAAGAACGAGCGAAACGATGCAAGGCGTTCAAGGAATAGTAAACCCTCGCAGTGTAAACTGTTTTACCATTTTTCTGCTTTAAACGACTTGGTACGACGCTAGATAACATTCGAGATGATAAAGTTCCTCTTAATTCGAAAACGTGACATTTGCGGATTTCTATGCTTGCTACAAATTGAAGAAAATCTCGCGGATATTACCGCATAAAACAACTGATTATATTATAATGTTAAATTTCTGAGAACAAATTTTTATTCAAAATTATGCTTGTATAAATTAAATGCTATAGTATTAGTTGTTTCACAAGAACAAAACGTATAATATATTCCATTATTTTAATTTAAATAGTAGATTTTACAGTATATGTAATATTTTCTAGCGTATTTTAATTATTACTTTCATTATTCGAGTCATATTTTTAAAAAATGTACTTTCAAAGATCATGGAATGAGAAATATGAATGAACTCGAGGAAAAACGTGAGTTTTTCTGTGAGATTACACGGGGGAAGCCGGAGGGGTATTTTTGTTGGGCGCGGATGCATCATACAAGTTAAACATTAATGTGCAGTCGATCATCGCGATAACGTGCGATGAGCAACGCGTTATATAAAGAGTAACCAACGAGTGATGCGCGAAACCATTAGTGTCAGTATTGATAAAAGCTGTCTGGGACTGATGGTAATGAATTGGTATGCTTCGTGGGAACGCGGGATTAAAACTACATGAAAGCATTCGGCGAGATTGCAACTAGAATTAGTAGATACTATAATTATAGTACCGCGAAGTATTACAATTTTAATCATAATATATGTAGCTGACTGATATTTGTTTCACCTTTATTTTTTTCTATATATGCGTTACTCTTATCTAGACGAATGTACTTCTCAAATACGCGCGAGCTTGGAATATGCCGCTATCTTTCCTGGATACCGCATAGCCAAATTAAAATCATTATTCATTTATTACGCTTGCATTCGACAAGAAAATAAACAAAAAAGAAATATAAACATTAATAATTTAAGTGATTAACGTGTGAAACTGTTAATTATTAAAATAACTAACGTTATATAGTTATATCAATGAGTTAAGCGATTAACATGCTTTTATTGGCGCGCACGTGCGTCGTACGAGAAGAACCGATGATTTTGGAGATTTCCAATAAAGAGAAAAAGAGGGAAGACTTAAGAAGTTGCCCCTCGGTGAGATAGGAGGAAAAGTGGAAAGAGGAACGACTTGACACGCTGGGAGGAGGGGGAAGAGGGGGAGGAAGGGTGAAGCATCGTCGAGAGTTTTAAGATAACCGGGTGTGGGGTTGGATGAATGTCGGCGAATAACGAACGGGGGTTGGTGGGACACTTTACCGGGGAAATATGAGAAAAAAGTCTGTCGCGGATGCCCTTTTACGCGGCGAAAGGAAGAAAAAGAGGAATGCGCTTGATGGAGGAAGCTATCCGACGCGCGGGGGTGTTGGCGGGACATATAAAACAAAATTAAGATTTCAACCCCTTTACTTTGCTCGTGATTTTATTAGCATATTAATGGATTCTTTTATGTAAAAACATTTTTCGCGACGTAGCGTGCAAATTGCCTCAAAATGGCAAGACATTCTGTAAAGTTTTCTTTAATAGTGCCATGCATACCAGTGCATACAGAGAATATGACCGATAAAATGTCAGATACTTAGAAATGTATTTCGCGAGAAATTTAGTGATCCTACACAAAGATTTAAACGGAAATTAAATAATGTGACCGCAACAAACTTTTCTTTTTCCTTTAATTTCAAAAATGAGCTTATATTTAATCAAAATTAAAACACTTTTTTTTTATATTGTTTAATTAATTATATATTAGCACAATCGTATCACATTATTCATGTAGGATTCACAGGCGAATTCGAGTCTCTGTGAATATCTCACACCATGGCAAGAACGATAAGCGTGAATTCGAAAGTCCTCGAAGACATTTTTTATTCTGATGTCGTGGAAAGTACAAGAGACAAGCTGAGAAAAAACAAGCGTAGAAAAACGAAAGTTGGGCCTCGCGCGCGCTATTAAAGTCTGAAATTAATGTCGATCGTAAAGCTCGTAATGACTAAGAGGGAGCCGAACAGTACATCGCGCGGCATCCCCCGCTGTGCCCCGAGCGACTGCCGCTTATCTTGGGTAAGTTGCGCGAAGATGCCGGGAGTACGCGGAAGTGGGCGTGATCTTGGAGATTCATTATTACGCTGGTAAAGTAATAACGAAGTTGCGAGACGGTGCGGCGACCGATACAAATTGCAGCGATTAATTACGGCCGGTATAAATTACTCGATCCTGGAAATATGTGTGCGTGAGGGAGGAAAGGGAGAGGCAGGGAGCCTCTTCCTGCAGCGAGACGTTTTTGAGGATCC